GGGTGGGTCGCATCCTGGGACACTGACCTAAGGGGCCTGGTCACAGACCGGGCCGCGGGGGTGTGACCCCCGGAACTCTCTCTCCAGATAAACTCCAGATACAGTCCACTAACACCAGGTCCCCCATTTTATACTGATGGGGTGACATAGACAAACCGGTGAAAAGAAACACTCCAATTTTTTCCACCCCCTTCGCCGGGAATCGAACCCGGAGGCCTCACCGTGTGAATCGAGAACTTTAACCACCAGGCCACGGGACACCAGGTAATAATTACACATTATTTACCTTTCTTCTCCCTGACATTCTACCCCAAAACTAATAATTTGTTAAGGAGACTTGAAACTTCAGACGGGCGTTTCGACCAATCCGGACTATTATCAAAATGTTTAATGGTCCAACACAGATCAAAACATCGACTACAATTTGTTCCACAAACTGAGAGTTTATTGTAATTTATTCTTGAAATTCAACTCATTTATTTATTATCTTCCCGTCCTCCTCAGTGGGGACCTACATTTTCGGGGCCCAGAAGATTGAACTGTTATGGGGACCCTGAAAACTTGAACATGGGCCCCTGAAGGTTGAAGTAAAGGGGGCCTCTGAAGCTTGAAACTATGGGGGCCTCTGAAGCTTGAACTATGGGGGCCCTGAAGCTTGAACTGCTATGGAGGACCCTGAAGTCTGAACTGCTATGGGGGCCCCTGAAACTTGAACTATGGTGGCCCCTGAGGCTTGAATTACTATGGGGGCCCTTGAAATTTGAACTGTTATGGGAGCCTCTGAAGTTTTGAACTGTTATGGGGGTCCCTGAACTGAACTGTTATGGGGGTTTCCTGAAGCTTGAGCTGTTATGGGGCCCCCTGAAGCTTGAACTGCTATGGGGGCCCCTTTAAATTTGAACTGTTATGGGGGCCCCTGAAGTTTGAAACTGTTATGGGGTCCCTGAAGCTGAACTGTTTATGGGGTTCCTGAAGCTTGAACTGTTATGGGGCCCCCTGAAGCTTGAACTGTTATGGGGCCCTGAAGCTTGAACTGTTTTTGGGGCCCCTGAAGCTTGAACTGTTATGGGCCCCTGAAGCTTGAACTGTTATGGGCCCCCTGAAGCTTGAACTGTTATGGGGCCCCTGAAGCTTGAACTGTTATGGGGCCCTGAAGCTTGAACTGTTATGGGGCCCCTGAAGCTTGAACTGTTATGGGGACCCCTGAAGCTTGAACTGTTATGGGGCCCCTGAAGCTTGAACTGTTATGGGGCCCCTGAAGCTTGAACTGTTATGGGGCCCCTGAAGCTTGAACTGTCATGGGGCCCCTGAAGCTTGAACTGTTATGGGGCCCCTGAAGCTTGAACTGTTATGGGGCCCCTGAAGCTTGAACTGTTATGGGGCCCCTGAAGCTTGAACTGTTATGGGGCCCCCTGAAGCTTGAACTGTTATGGGGCCCCTGAAGCTTGAACTGTTATGGGGGCCCTTCTCATACAATAGACCCAAAATTGTTAAGCAATGTGGATTAAAGTTGCTTCATCAACTCTTCTCGTATTTCCTCCCCATAACATCCTCCTCCCCATAACATCCTCCTCCCCATAACATCCTCCTCCCATAACATCCTCCTCCCCATAACATCCTCCTTCCCATAACATCCTCCTCCCCATAACATCCTCCTCTCCATAACATCCTCCTCCCCATAACATCCTCCTCCCCATAACATCTTTCTCCCCATAGCATCCTCCTCCCCATAACATCCTACTCCCCATAGCATCCTCCTCCCCAGACCATCTCCGGGATTAAGGGCCCCTCAAGCTTAAGCTTCATTAGTTCCACAGTAGATCTGTCCCTGATGCTCCACCATCCGTCCCTGATGCTCCACCATCTATCCCTGATGCTCCACCATCTATCCTGATGCTCCACCATCTATCCTGATGCTCCATCATCTGTCCCTGATGCTCCACCATCTGTCCCTGATGCTCCACCATCTATCCCTGATGCTCCACCATCTGTCCCTGATGCTCCACCATCTATCCCTGATGCTCCACCATCTGTCCCTGATGCTCCACCATCTGTCCCTGATGCTCCACCATCTGTCCCTGATGCTCCACCATCCATCCCTGATGCTCCACCATCCATCCCTGATGCTCCACCATCCGTCCCTGATGCTCCACCATCTGTCCCTGATGCTCCACCATCTGTCCCTGGTGCTCCACCATCTGTCCCTGATGCTCCACCATCTGTCCCTGATGCTCCACTATCTGTCCCTGATGCTCCACCATCATCCCTGATGCTCCACCATCTGTCCCTGATGCTCCACCATCTGTCCCTGATGCTCCACCATCTGTCCCTGATGCTCCACCATCTGTCCCTGATGCTCCACCATCTACGATCCACTTCTGCGTCTTCCACTTGTCTACTAAAAATTTTATTACAACCATTTATCAAAGATTAAAATTTTAATATTCTTTAAATTCATTAATATAATTCAAGGTTTTTAAAGTTTCTTAACATTTTTTTGGTAAATCTAAAAATTTCCACCAAATTAAGATATTTTTGGTTTTAAAAAAAGGGTCATTGATAGGAAAAATAATTTTATTATTTTAATGTTTTTTTTTTAAGATATTTTTCGAGGGCCAAAAACAGCAGTTGGGGGTCCGTTTTGTAACCGGGGGAAGGTGGTATCTGGGGTTTGGCGGACCAGCATTTTTTTGGGCCCGGGAAGCTTGAGCTGTTATGGGGGCCCCGGGAAATTTTTAACATTAGGGGGCCCCCCTAAAGGTTGACTGTTATGGGTCACCATGGAAAAACCAATTAGGCGGGCCTAACGATGCATTAAAAACCTTTTCAATTTTTTTTTTATTTTGTTTTGGGAATTTACACTATATTATTATTTTTATTTTTATTATTATTATTATTATTATTATTATTTTTAAAATTTTTTAATTTTTAAAAATTTAGCTTCCAGAAGTAGACCTTTTTTTTTAAAGAAGGTGGCAAAAAATCGCTTCTAGGGTCCCTCTGGGTTTAGGGGCCCTAAAGTTTTAGTTTCCCATTGAAACCATAAAAAGATCTCCCATTCCATATGGGGTTTTTCCGTACAATCCCCATAAAATGACATTTTTGATCTGCTTTCGGGGCCCACTAAAGAAACTCGTTAAAATCTGACTTTCAAAAAACTTTGGGACGTAAAAACACTTGTTTAAAAAAAACACCACCTGATAATGTCGGTGGTGCCCTACAAGGTCCCATGAACCCTTTTGGGCAAATTTCAAAATGGAAAGACAGGAAAACCCTCGGGAAAACCAGATTATCAAAAACACCACTATTTTCCGGGACGGGCCAGTTTCGAATGGGATTTTTTAAACCTTGTAAAGGCCCCTTGTAATCACCCACGGGGTGGGCGGGCCCCCCAACTTTTGGTCCCAACATTTCCCATCAGGGAAAAGGGAACATAATAGTTTTTTCCCTCTTAAACACAATGGGAAAATCCCAATATATAACTAAAAAATTTTTTTTTTTGGGGTTTCAAACCGACAATTTTTTTAATGGACCCTTTTATGTACACCCTTTAAAAACAACTTTGTTTTAATATATAAAAAAAGCGCAAAAATTTTTTCCTTAGGGCCCGGGGGTTTCGTGATTTTTTCGGTAATGTTCAACCAGAGCCCTTAAACTAAAACATTGTACTCCCGTTTTAAGTCGGGTCACGAACGAATTTTTAATATTTGGTCTCCCGTCGGTAAAAACTTTTGAGGTCAAAACCCCCCCAGGACAGGGGGTACAAGGTACACATAGGAAATTGAAAACATGGTGATTGAAATAGTTTAGCGGTTTAAGAATAAAGTTGTTGGTAATATTAAAAAATAAATAATAAGATTTTAGCTGATGAAAGTTGATAATAAGTTTAGGAATGGCATTAAAATTAAGAATAGCCTATTTTTTGGGGGAAAGCCTGAAAAGGAAAATTTCCCAAAACGGGCATAAAACTAACACTACAGAAATTTTCCCTAAAATGTTCTGGAAGGTTCTGTGGCAACGGCTCGAAGAGGATTTTTTCCCCTCTTTTTCCATTAGTCTAAAGGGTTTGTAAATGAAGGTATGAAAAATGATCCACATTGTAACTTATGTCACATGGCATTTTCCCCAGGGGTTTTGAAGTTTGGGGGCTGGCTTTTAAAACTATTTTTCTAGTTTTTTTCCTCATGCAATCGCAAACTGTAGGCCTCCCCCAAACCCGACTCCATAGGGGGGGGTTTTTGGGGCATCCTCCGGGCCTTCCCAGAAAAGTCCGGA